CTGTGGCCGCCAGCGCCAGAGATCCTGAACACTGTCTGGCAACACTTGCCAAGATCACGAACTCTGTCTGGCAACACTTGCCAACAAGAGTGGCTGGCAACGTCAAAAAAAAAAAAGGCGCGAAAGTTCGTTGGATTTTGTCCGGGTGTTGCCCGAGGATGTCTGTGACAGTTCTAACCTTTTCTAATAAAGTTCTTTTTTGTTACTGTTCGTGTTTGCCTGCTAATGTTAGATCTAAACATCAGTAGGATTGAATGACAAAATCTCTTATACGCTATTACTGCTTGTTTATTTTTTTGAAATTTTCTCATAATTATTTATTATAATTTTAATACATTTTAAAAATTTAATTAAAATTATATTAATATTAAAATATCTTAATTTGTTAAAAATACCGTCGGATAAATAATTTTATTTTATTTTATGAGATTATTTAATAAATGTGTCAAAAGCGAATATTTGACCGTTTGGTGCGCTGAGATCTACGACGTGTCATTTAGAATTGCGGAAAATGGCGACGAAGCATAAGGATGATAGTAAACATCACTCGTCGTCTCTTTTATTACAGCCTCCTCGTTCTGGTTTTTCTTGGGATCCGATGAATAATAGTGCCATACTGATGCCTATTGGCCAGAAAGAAGAATTATTATCAGAAGGTATGAACTCGTCTTCTTCGCCTTTAAAATAAGGCTATTGATGATAATACAGACGAATTGCCATATTTTAATAAAAGTTATATCTTCAATAGCCTTATTTTAATGAAAACTTTTAAAATTGATAACCTTATTATCATGCGTTATTTACCAGTGAGGCTGTGAATATGTCATTTTATGGGATTTCTAAAATTCTGGTTGATGTGGTTTATTACTTTTAGGTAATTTGTACACACATACAAACAAACAAAAACTATGTAAAAGTAACTTACAAGTTTACTTAATTGAAATTTATTCATATATTCACATATGTAAGTTGATTTGGTTTGAAGATAACTGATGTGATTTAATGTGAGAATTGATGATAAATGAATCATTTACTAGTATTTTAAGGATTTAATTTCTGTGCTAGTGTTGACTTTAAAGCTAGATTTTATCTTTGACTTATGGTCTAGGCTATTTATTCAATTTCTTTAGACTTGTATTGTTGCCACTCCCACATGACAGAATAGTATACATAAAAAAGGAGAAAATATTTATTATATTTATACATAATGCATAAATATTTGTGAGTGAAAATTGTAAGAAGCATCTCCTAACACATCACAGAGTTCAAAAACAAAAATTGGAAATTCTAACAAACTATAAAGGGTGCTATGTAAATTTAAAATGGCAAGTTTGTGTACAATTTACATAGACATTAAATGATGTCTTATGCGAATTGTATTAATCGGATTTTAAGAAAGAAATCCAGCTAATATTACAGGTATACCTCGACTTACGTCGCTTCGAGTTACGTCGTTCCCGATTATACGTCGTTTGTCAAAAAAAGTATATGGAAAAATAAAAATCAAGTTTAAGTCATTTTATTCGACTTTGTCTGTCCCCCACAAATATTGAAGTCGTAATATCACTAGAAAAGTGTTTAAAGCACATAAAATCATATTAAAAAAAATATACATTTACAAGTATGTACTGTATTTACAGTACATGCATTCGTAAATTTAGATTATTTTTTTCTGTACTATATTAAAATCTAAAATTTATTTGTTGGTAAGCTTAAAATAGATCCTTATTAACCATATATTATTAAAAATGCATTAATAAATAAAATACAGAACTGGGAATGGTAATTTATGGTTTAGCCTAGTGACAAGTAGTTTCAGAGACAAGTAAATTCGACTTACGTCGCCTCTCCTGGAACCAATTACCAACGTAAGGCGAGGTATAACTGTATTATTATTGGAGGCCCTCCAGTGGCTGAACGGTTCCATTTCCTGAACACTGGGAGTTCAGTCGTGGGTTTGTGCCTCATTCGGATGGGCTGGCCATGTGGAGTTTTCCGGGTTTTCTCCATGTCTGTAATGCCTGAATAGGTAGAGGCAAGTTACCCTTAGAAAGGCCTCCCAGAAGGCATCTGCCTAAGCAGATTGCCCAAGTGTTGCATTGCCATTATCAAACAAAGTTTATTATTATTGGATTGTGTTTGCAGTCTCTAGCATTTAATTCCCACTTTCTAGATTTTATTGTTTTTAAAGAAAATTCAACAACAATAATTGTAAATGACTGCAGGTATACTTTTTTTTCAACAACATTATAAGGAAACAATGTTAAATGAGAATTTGCTGTACACTATTAGTTGCAGTTTTTGCCAAACGGTAAAAGAGAGGAAAAAAAGAATTATGATATACCGAATAAAAAATAAAGTGTACCCTGAAGTTTTGAAAAACAAAATTAGTCACAGCACTTAAAAATTGAGATATTAAACTCAGCATTATTTTATTAATTTTTTTAATAAACATAAACATGCTATAAAATTTACATCGTCATTAATTATCATCTGATTCTGTGTAGACTTTTTTAAGTAATAAATAAAATATTGTAGTTTCTGTTGCAGTAGTAATTTTTTAATGCTTATAAATATAGAAAAACATGAATAATCAAGCATTTAAGTATTTGATAAGATTTAAGTCTAACTCTAAAGTAAAAAGACCTGTTATTGCATTCTTTTAGGTTTGTTCATTAAAGATCTCAAGATAAGTGTTTAAAGCAGGGGTGTCCAACCTTTTTGTTTTTCTGGGCCGCATTGGAAGAAGTCAAGGAGTTTTGGGCCACAAGTATATATTATATATACTTGTGGCCCAATATACAAGTATATTTAAGGATTAACACGTCTAGATTATAATAATAAGTATTAAATCTTTATCACGAAAAAGGATATTTTAAAAAATTACTTCTACAGACACTTTCAATTTTTACTTAGAATTAGATAAATTCATTTATTATAAAAGAGACAAACGAAAATTTATTTTAAAAACAAATATTTGTTTTATTTGGGTCTCTAATTAATAAAAAGCGACGAAACACCATTTTAAAGTGCATTTTTATTCAACTAATATATTTAGGCTATAAATAATATGTAGTCCAAGAGATAGCCAATGCATCAAATGATAATTTCTACGTCAAAGAAGAAAAAAAGTACCCACATTTGGCGCAATGTAGCCAAATCTTCCAACGTTGGAAGAAATACTAAATAAAGCTGAAGTTGTGACTCAAAGGATTATAGACCCAAATGCGGGGAAAGGAGAGAAGATAAAGAAGTGAGAAAGGTTGAAAAATTAAAGGTCAATATTTGCAAAACAAAAGATCTATTTAAACTCTCTCACTACTTTTTATATTTTGTCCTTTTTCTCCTTTCCCTCCTTCCCCCAAATTTGGGTCTACACTCCTTTGAGTCACAACTCCAGCTTTATTTAGTAATCCTTCCTCATTCACACAGCTCCAAATATTTGAAAATATTTCTTTTCCACTCAAAAATAAAATATGAATAAAGGTTTTCGACTTTGTGAAACTTCTTTTTTGAGTTTATGCGGTTGAAAAAAATAAATAATAAAAAAAATTAAAACATTTGTCGGTTTTGTTTACACGTTTATTGGGCCGCATTGGAACTTGCCTTGGGCCGCATGCGGGCCGCGGGTTGGACATCCCTGGTTTAAAGGTTCTTAAAAATTACTTAATTTTTAAGAGAGAAAATGGGAACTATAAACAATGTTCAGATAGATTAGTTGATTGTATAAAACTTTTTTTAAAGTGATAGTTACAAAAATAAAATAATTTGATTTAAAATATTTAAATACTTTCAATCTGACAATATGAATTGAATATGAATGTTTATTGGAACACATTAGATAAGTAATAGTGTAAGAATCGGTTTTAATTAACTTTTTATAGTTATTCTATGATAATCTAAATATCCATAATGTTAAGCTGATATTTATAAAAGTTGACTTAATTTCAATGTAATAAACAGGTGGTGACAAATATTGTTATTCTACAATGAATACACACAAATTAATTTATAACCCCACTTAGTTTAATTTAAGAAATTTCTTCTGTTGTTATTAAATAAATATTTTTATTTTTTGTTAAATTTTATTTTGTCTTCATATTTTATCATTGTCTTAATAGCTATGATTGATCTATGTTAAAATATATTTGTGATAACTGAATATAAATATTATTTATTGAAAGCATATCTTTGTGTAATAATGAAATAAAATATATTTCAACATATATTCAGACTGTACTCCTTCAATATTATGACACACACATCTTATATTGCTGAGAACCAACTTTATTGCTTTAAACAAATGTTTTCAACCTGATCAACAGGCCATTGTCAGGTTTCAAATTCTCTGGAACGTTTACGATCGTTCTATATTCGAACAAATATGCAGTAAAAAATTTAAATTCAAAGAGGTTTGAACATTTCATCAAAATACCAAAATTTACAAAAATGCAACAAACACTATAAATATATGAAAGTGAATGAATTAAAATAAATAGAATTAAATTAAATAAAAATACAAATATATTAACATAATATATAGAATTATATCGACCATGCATTATGTATTAGATTTTAATGAGCTATTCCTGATCATATACTTCCAGGCCAATGGTAAAACTGTGGCATCCTTGTAATTTAAACATTTGCCAGTATGGCTAAATTTATATATTTGAAACTTTTCTAAACTCAATGCTACACTATTTGGTTTTGCAAAAAAACACAAAAGCAGCAAAGAGATCATACCAGTAGTTGAGAAGTGTAAGGGTGCAACTATGCAGATGCGAATTTAGAGAGAGCGAGAGGTTGTGAGCGATTTAGTTTTCGCAAAGGAAAACCATGCACAAATGCAAAGCGAGAAATAACGCTGGCGAGAGCGAATTTCTGGTTCTCACACATATCTGACAGGTTTTGATATTTATCGCTTCTCGCCACATATTCTCGCTCGCTCAGAAAATTCACTCTCTCGCATCTACATAGTCGCACCCTAAAGGGCTGGAGAAACGCTTGCATAGATATTTATCTGAACAGATTGAGAATGATCATTTTATTACAAAGAACCCAAAAAACTTAATAAATGAACTTCAAGCCCTATCTTTAATGGATGAGGAGATTAGATTAGTCGTGGACTTCGAAAGACTGTATCCATCCATGTGCAGATAGAACCCAGATGTGTCAGTCTTTCCTAAGATATGGAGCTACTTGCAAACCTGGTATGTTTTCATTCATTCTTCAGCTTTGAGGCAGAATCTATAAACAAAGGAAAGGGGTTCCGATGGGCAGTCCGATTCTGCGAGTTAGTTGTACACAAATTAGAACGTATTACTATTATGAATTTTAGGGAGGACATAATCTTATACAAAAGATGTGAATGATGTACTCATTTTATGGAGGAAAGGTAGAAGAATACATTTTTTGAATGAGAGAAGAGATGGCTTAAAACTTAAATTGGAGCAACTTAGTACAACCAAAGTGTATTTTTTTAGGCATTGACATTTCATTCAATAATGGTTCCTTAAGCACAAAGGTAAACATCAAGCCCATTTATGACCCATTATGCATTCCTTCATCCTCCAATGATCCACATACAAGCTTTCAGCATTTAGATCTCTAATTAGAAGGGCATTCCATTATTGCTCTGTGTACAACAGGTTAC